TTCCTTTGTTAAGGTTAATTCTAATTAATATATTAAAAAAATGTATTAAAGTGCAATAAAGAAAATAAAAGAAATCGAAAGTAGTTTCTATGAGTTAAATTACAAAATGAAAAATATTATCAACTGGTATAGGATTTGAAACTGAATAACCAAACTAATGAAATTGAATACCATTTCGGTAGATGCTTAGAAACACGATTCTGAAAATTCCAAACGACTTATTAAAAAAAAAATTTAAACATTCACAAAACTATACAAAAATATATTACTGAGTTATGTTATGACATAAATACGTGACGATGACGACCTCGGTGGTCTAGCGGTAGCACACCGCTTTACGCCCGATGGTCGCTGGTTCGATTCCTCGCACGGCACAAACATTTGTATTCATGAGTATGATTGTTTGTATCGGTCTGGGTATTTTCTATGTATAATATGTATATATTTACGAAACAAAAATTATCAATGTATTTGTATCAGTTGTCTAGTACCAATAACACAAGCTTTAGCTAGCTTAACTTGGGTCTAGATGGCGCTGTGTTAATTGTCCTGAGATTATTATTATTATTATTATTATTCTTTATTTTTTCTCAGCTATTGCTGGTTTTCTCCACACTTACGGGCCGAAACCAAGTAAGTGCAGTGTGTGTGTGTGTGTGCGCGTGTATGTATGTGTGAGTGTGTGTGTACTTATTGTGTGCCTGGTGTGACTGGTGTTATATCATTTTCATCGATTTCGAGAAATTTTCGGACTGTACGACAAGTATTTAAGATGGCAGCTTTTTGAAGGGTGATGTAAAGTGTTTTTTGTATATCTAATTGTTTCAGGCTATGATGTAGGTGTTTGGGTATGATACCTGTAGATTGCAGAGGACTATGGGTATTATATAAACTTTTCCTGTTTTCCAAATTATTATTATTATTAATTACAGATATAGATATTGTAGTACAAAGGTAACCAAAATAAAAAAAGGAGAAATGTTAGTACCATTATGTTATTAGTATATGCATAAAGTTACTTTTTTATGTACGTGTGTGATCACCTTCCTTGATGTTGTTACAATAATTCGGTAATCGGTAGTCGCTTTTAATATTTTAAATATTATTTTGTAAATTCATAAGTTCGCATTTATTAAATATAACAAAACTTCAGTTTTCAATTTATATTCCTTACTGATTTTCAAGTGATGGAGTTTTTTGCACTCGTCTGAGCTACAGTACATGGTAGCGGGGCACCAGTAAGGATGATAGGATAACCTAGAAGTCAGACTAGTTAGTCCATCGATTTTTAATCAGTATAAATTAAAAAGAAACAATAATAAAAATGCAAAAACAATCGATACCACACAGCAACTCCAGTATGGGGGAAAGGGGATTGTTAGTAATGTGGATTGATGATCTTATTGCTAGAAATGTACCATATCAGGTTGATCTACACGCAGTTCCTCCTGGAAACCATCGCGATAAATTCTTGGTGAATTTGTCACGATGGGCTAACTGACCTGACCTCATTCTCATCTTATCATCTTCCACTGGTGCACCGCCAGCGTATACCGTTAGCGCAGGCGGGTGCACCATTTGTACCATGTCAGGTTGACCTCCACGCGGTTCCTCCTGGAAACCATCGCGATAAATTCTTGGTGAATTTGCTCGAAGGGCTAACTGACCTGACCTCATTCTCATCTTATCATCTTCCACTGGTGCATCGCCAGCGTAAACCGTTAGCGCAGGTGTGTGCACCATTTGTACCATGTCAGGTTGAACTCCACGCGGTTCTCTGGAAACCATCGCGATAAATTCTTGGTGAATTTGCTCGATGGGCTAACTGACCTGACCTCATTCTCATCTTATCATCTTCCACTGGTGCATCGCCAGCGTAAACCGTTAGCGCAGGTGGTTTCACCATATCATTAACATTCATAAAAAAAATAGTGCTCCAGTTGTGTTATTCAGCATATGCCGTGACGAGGTGCCATGACGGCTTTTGCGATATTCTAGGATAGTATATATATCTATATATTTAGCAAAATCGTTTCAAAAGAGGACCACGAGGAGGTCATTCGAATACATAGCAATAGGAGCTCTGGTCCTCATTACTATCATATCTCTCTCTCTTCCTGTGATGGTTATGGTTAACAAACTAAGATAGAGAGAGACAGCGGGTAGTTTCCCAGTCACGTTGCCTTCCCAGAAAAAATAAATCAATGCATTTTTGCACCGCCAACAATTATTCTCCGCACCACTTATGATTGCCTGGTAGAAAATACCGCATGGTGTTAAGTCCGCCAAATGTACTGTACTATATATTGTATTGTGTGCATTAAAGTTAAATAAATAAATGCATTTCCTTTAATATAACGCCTATTTAATTCACGTACATTAATAAATCTCATAATTAATAATCCCAAAAATGCAGAGATATTTTAAATAGTTAAAAGATTTATACGACCAAAATTAAAAACGTAAAAAATAATATGAAAAGTCTGGCGTTGAAAATAACATTTCAATTTTATTACTTTTTCATGTGATCCTTAGAGCTTTAATTACCCAGAAGCCAACTTTAAAATGTGTAGTAAAATATTTATGACAGATAACATAATTTTTACTGCATATCATAATTTCTGAATATACTTTTAGTTAGATGTAGTCTAGTAATATTATGTTATGAAAGAAACTGAGCAACCGAATTTCTTGTCAGTTTTTGTCTATTCAAACATTTCCGAAACTGGTAAGAAAATTAAAGAAGGTAATAAATCTACGTAGATGTGACAAAACGTTTTTTTTAACATATTTGTAACACTAGCTGTACCCGCGACATCGTCCGCCTTATTTCGCATTAAAAAGTAGCCTATGTCCTTCTTAGACTATCTGCAAATTTCATTTACATCGGTTTAGTAGTTTTGGCGTGAAAGCGAGACAGACAGACAGAGTTACTTTCGCATTTATAATATTAGTAAAGAATGAATTGAAAACTTGGCGTTTGGCGAGGGTGACCGCGTGGGGGTGAGATCTTCTCAATTTTTTGTAACTAAGTTCCCCACGGTTACCGTAGCCTGGCTAGTGTCTGTAGACGCTGCAATACTAGAGTCCCTCTACCTGGTATTTCCTCCTGGGAAGAGGATTGTTACTAATGTGGACTAATAACTCCATTACTAACAACGAAACCAACGTGATAAGCTAATAGTGAATTTAGCACGATGAGTTAACTGACCTGACCTCATGCTCATCTTATCATCCTCCACTGGTGCCCCGGCAGCGAAAACCGTTAGCGCAGGCGGGTGCACCATTCCATTATCATCCATAAAAAATACTAGCGACTTACGTAATTATTTTATAACATTTGATATAGAATTATTCTTTAACTAAATATGTCAAAAAATACAAATCTTTAATAATTTAATTATAAAATATAGAAAAGAATAGAAAATCATTTATTCAAATAAACTTACATTGAAGCACTTTTGTCACAATAGTCATTACATTTTTTTAATCTACCGTTTATATAAAAGTATAATATATATTTCATAATAATAAAAATAATGCGAATAAATGTTTATATATAATTTATTCGCTATAAAAGTCGCATAAATATAAAAAATAAAAAAAATACTGAAACCTTGTGTGGTTTATTGTATAAATAATATTAGGTTATATTTATAAAAGATCAATAAAATATTTATTGTAGGTATACTTAAATGACATTATATATAGTAATATCTATATATTAATTTAATACAGCAATAATTATTTCTTTTTTATAGTTACCTTTTTTTATTAGCCGGTTTTTTATTATTACGGTTTCAGTCGCGTGAAAGATTAATAAACATATCCATCCACAACTCGCAAACCTATTTGAACGTATATTATATGAGTAAGGTTCGTCGCTTTGTTACCTAATAATAATCAAATAATAAACTAACAACTTGAAAATATTTTGATAAAAATAATATTACAATCACCGCCATCTAGCGACTATAAATGAAAGCTTTAAGTACAGTTGCGAAGCTACGTAATCCACCCCTGAAATTTCAGTTTCAGGAACATGAATCTGAACATACACAGTTTACGTTATACGCGATAGATGTCGCTGCTTGTAGAAAATTGTACTGTTTATCTTTAATGAGCACCTAATTATAATGATAATAAAATTATTACTGACATTTCATCATTATGTAACATCCAATCTAATACATAAATGAGAGCCCACATTCAATTGTTAATGAATTAGTATATTAAATTAAAAAAAAAAATACCCGACTCCAAAACACTCAAAATAAAAATGAGACCAATTTGAAAGTATACTCTTTGATATAAAAAAAAAAGTTTTTTTCAAATCGGTGTAGAAATAAAGGAGTTATGAAGTAACAAACATTAAAAAAAACAGCCGAATTGAGAACCTCCTGTTCTTTTTTGGAGTCGACTAAAATTTCTAATTTTATTATTTTTATAGACTGAATTTTAAACAAATTTTCTTGGATTGAACTAGCTGTAGAAAACTTTGTATATATTTTATTAGTTAATTGTGTTTCGTAATTGATCAAAATAATATGTCTAATTGTTAGACATCTAAACCAAAAAAAAAAAAAAAATTACCTATAAATTATCATAAAGAAGAATAAAGAAACAAATAATAACATTATCCGCAATCCTAGTCATTCCCATTCCATTCGCACTAGACTAATTATTAAAAAAATATATATTACAGATACAAAGACCAAGAAATTCCCAGTGCTTGTCTTCATTCATGGCGACTCGTTTAGTGAGCTCCCACGTAACCCGTACGATGGCAGATACTGGCTGCCACGGTAATATAATGGTGATTACTTTAAACTTCAGATTGGGAATACTTGGTAAGTTTTTTTACTGAGGTACACTTGATCAAAATGTACGCCTATGTTGGTACCTCAATTTCATCTATTTTTTTTTATAATTAATTTCAATAAATTTTACAGTAGTAGTAAAAAGTCACTTCTATTGGTACCTCAGTTTCCCCAATTATTTTTTTTTTTATAAATAAACTCAAGAACTAAAATCCAACTATTGATAATCAGTTTATTTTACTGAGGTAGATATTGTAAATAGTCGCCTATGTTGGTACCTCAGTTTCAGGTAATAATTTTTTTTTATAAATAAGTTTAAAAACTAAAATCCGACTATTGATAATCAGTTTTTTACTGAGGTAGACAATATAAATAGTCGCCTATGTTAGTACCTCAGTTCCAGCTAATACTGTTTTTATAAATAAGTTTAAAAACTAAAATCCGACTATTGATAATCAGTTTTTTTACTGAGGTAGACAATATAAATAGTCGCCTATGTTAGTACCTCAGTTCCAGCTAATACTGTTTTTTATAAATAAGTTTAAAAACTAAAATCCGACTATTGATAATCAGTTTTTTTACTGAGGTAGACAATGTAAAAAGTCACCTATGTTGGTACCTCAGTTCCAGCGATTATATTTTTCTGTAAATAAGTTCAAAATCTAAAATCTAACTACTGAAAATCACGTACTAAAAGTAAATAACAAGTGGCGGTACAAATTTTTCACTGAAAGAATAAAGAATTTTTAAAAAAGGAATAAATGTTACATATTGTAAATTGTTGTACTGTGCGAAGAATCGAGCTCGCGAGTATTGGAAGTAAGTACATATGCTAAACCATATCGGTAATCGGTAATAGTCGCGAGCTCGATTCTTCGCACAGTACAACAATTTATATTCATAAGTATGATTGTTAGCATCGGTCTAGATATTTTCTAATTATGTATTAATTTCGTGTTTCTTCTTCTTCTTTTGTTCTTTTACCAGAATTCACTTATCGATGTTAGTACTGATATCTTAAGAAATCAAATCTTACAAAAGAACGCAATCTACGAAAGTTTATCAATCTACGCCAGACAACGTGTTTCATAAACAGAAATAATATATAAATAAATTTTTATAAACTTTTATCTAGGTTTTATGAAGCCAAGCACAACAGAACATGAATACGGTAATAATGGACTGCTGGATCAGCTTGCAGCACTCACCTGGATCAAGGACAATATACAGGATCTAAACGGAGATCCTACATCTGTGACACTGATGGGTCACGGTACGGGTGCAGCCTGTGTCAACTTTTTGATCCTATCACCTATATCTAATGGTAAGAACTTTGTTTTCAATAGTTCAGAACGAACAAAGATGGATGTATGGTAAGAATATTGATTTTTAATAATTTTAGATCGACTGTGTTAAAACTCATTTGACTAATTCTGACGGCAAGGAACTAGCTTTGCAAATGTTGTATGCATTAGAACTAGAGACGTTATTTCTTTCACACAACGCCAACTAGTTCTAAGTAAAAAATACGATATTTAAGTTTTTAGCACTCATAATACAAATTTTATAGTTATATATATATAAAAAAAAGATAGAACTAAGGTTGTGTAAAATGTTATCTGCTTCTTACCTAATTCAGACGGCAAGCAGCTTACTTTGCAACTGTTATATGCATTACAACTAGAGGCACTATTTATTTCACACAGCGCCATCTAGTTCTAAGCAAAAAATACAATATTTAATTCTAACCTAAAAATACGATATTTAAGTTTTTTACTACTCATAATACAAATTTTGTAGATAAAAAAATATATAAATAAGGCGGTGTAAAATGTCATTTGCTTCTTATCTAATTCTGACGGCCAGGAACCTGCTTTGTAAGCGTTGTGTACATTAGAACTAGAGGCACTATTGATTTCACATCGCGCCATCTAGTTCTGAGCAAAAAATACGATATTTAAATTTTTTAGTACTCAGAACACAAATTTTGTAGTTATATAAAAAAATATAGGCTGTGTAAAATGACATCTGCTTCTTCCCCAATTCTTATGATAAACAGCTTGCTTTACAAGCGTTGTATGAATTAGAACTAGAGACGTTATTTCTTTCACACAACGCCATCTAGTTCTAAGCAAAAATTACGATATTTAAGTTTTTTAGTATTCATAATACAAATTTTGTAGCTATACAAAAAATAGAAATAAGGCTGTGTACAAATCCATAAATAAATATTATTTTTTCGTAATCGTATTGTACATAGAAAATACCCAGATTAATACAACAAATCATACTCACGAATACAAATATTTGTACCGTACGAGGAATCAAACCCGCAACCGTTGGAGGTAACACGGTGTGCTAAACCGGTATACTACCAATGCCGATAATGCAGGTATTGTAACTAAAAATATAGAACCATATTTTCAATGCGTGCTTCTCAAATTACGTACACTCCATCAATGTTAATGCATCATTAAACTGAACCTTACACGTTGCATAATTAGAATTATGATGCCTATATTAGTTAGGTAATGATTTCAAAACACATTAATAAGTTTTCGTGTAGATTATTCATTACTAGCTACTCGCCCGGGCTTCGCATGGGTGTACATGTATCATATATATAAACCTTTGTTTGTTTTGTTTTAAAAATAATAATAATAATAGTACACACACACTCACACATACACACACGCGCTCACACGCACGCACATATGCGCGCGCGTACACACACGCGCACACACACATACACACACTCTGCACTTACTTGGTTTCGGCCCGTAAGTGTGGAGAAAACCAGCATAAGCTGAGAAAAAAAAAAAATTACAATAATCTCAGGACAATTCACACAGCACCATCTAGACCCAAGTTAAGCTAGCTAAAGCTTGTGTTATGAGTACTAGATACCTGATACATATACATAGATTTTTTTTTTGTAAATAAATACATATTATATATAGAAAACACCCAGACCGATACAAACAATCATACTCATGAATACAAATATTTATGCCGTGCGAGGAATCGAACCCGCGACCATCGGTCGTAAAGCGATGTGCTTGACCGCTAGACCACCGAGGTCGTCATATGTTTTGCTGTCTATTTCCCTCGTTTCTCGATAAAAATTGTAGGCATCGTTTCGCTTAGTACACTATATATGTAATTAGTATTGATATATACTGCTAGTAATTTGATATACAGCGACATCTATAAACACGACGTTCACAAATACACTTCACTTACTTTCTCCGATATTTTCTGTATTCTATTTTGTTCGTAATATGTCTGACTATATTATCTTTGTTTTTGTTATTATACGTTATTTCTTTTGTTAAAATATTTCATTTGTTCTCTTCATTTGGCTGGAAATAATATACTTTCAAATGTATAAATGTAAATGATATATATCAAAGTCGTGTTCATCTGTTGGTAATACATTTTTGTGTGTTTGGAAGGAAGTTAAATCAAATTGAAGTTCAAAAATTTATTCATGTGAGAGATTTTAGCCACTTATGAACATCTAATTTTTTATATTATAATATTTTCCCTACAGTCCAGTTCGGTATATAGATCCAATTGAGAAGAACTGGCAAGAAACACAATTGAATTATTTTTTTTAAAGCCAGTATATTTACACTGTATATTATATAGGTGTCTATGTCTAACATTAAATGAAAATCCCGTGCTATTACCATGCACGATCGTACTAATCAGGGAAATGAATCAAAAATTGTTTGCATGATTTGAACTCACGACTTTTTCTGATGTAAGTTGAAGCCACTAGGACTATGCTCTCTTCATTATTACATAGTATAAAACAAAGTCGCTGTCGCTGTCTGTCCCTATGTATGCTTAAATCTTTAAAATTACGCAACGGATTTTGAAGCGGTTTTTTTTAATAGATAGAGTGATTCAAGATGAAGGTTTATATATACTAATACATGTATATCTGTGTGAAGCCGGGGCGAGTAGCTAGTATTGTATAAATGGTATAAGGGGGAGGGAAAAAAGAGAGTCCTAGGTAGGCTGCATTGTTTAGTTATTGTCCCGCCTCGAAAAATGAGGATACAGGACTGGGTTAATAGATAATAATAATAATCTCAAGACAATTCACGAAGCCATAAATTGTTTTTTTTTTAAGGTTTATTCCATCGAGCCATTTTGATGTCGGGCTCAGCATTATCGGATTGGGCTATGACAAAGAATCCATTGCAATACACACTACAAGTAGCCCAGAGTATAGGCTGTAATCCCAGTTCAAAGAATCTGATGAGTTGTCTACAAATAAACCGTAAGTGTTTTTTTTATATATATATATATATATATATATATATATATATATATATATATATATTAAGTATTTATTACTTCATTTGCATTCCATAATATCACAATAAAGGTCTTATGCAAACATATGTATATGACATCTATATATCTATACATGTAAATAAAATTGGAGTGTCTGTTTGTAACATTGAAATAACGGTTTTTTACTACATGCATATTAATATAAATACGGTACATACACCAAAATAACATTTATTCCAATTTTTGTCTGTCTGTCTGTCTGTTTGTTCCGGCTAATCTCTGAAATGGCTGGACCGATTTTGACGAAACTTTTATTGGCAGGTAGCTGATGCAATAAAGAGTAACTTAGGGTACTTTTTTTAGAAAAATAAACTTAAATTCCACGTAGACGAAGTCGCGGGTACAACTAGTTCATGAATGTAATTGTAATTGTGTACACCGCAATTTAGTAGTACTTGTTCTTATGGACCCTTCATCGACATATATTTAACTGGTTTGACCTTTGTAGAGCGCGGGTCAGTTTTATAATTTGTGGGAACCCGGGCCTTTTTCAATTTGATCCACTTTTCTTTGAGCCTATATATCAATACCCAAAGCACGTACCTTTTGGTATAATCAGGCTAATGTATTTGTGAGTACAGTCAAAGCGGAAAAGATTTTAAAACTCTGCTCAAAATTTTTAATATTCACTTTTGTTTAATTTAAAAAAAAAGTTTAGGCTTTCAATTAGGTACAGCAAACAAATAAATAAGTATTAAAAATAATTTTGGCCTATTGAAACAGCGCCATCTAGTTCCAAACTAAGCAGAGTTTGTGTTATACCCATTACACAAGCTCTGCTTAGTCAGAAAACTAATGTAAATACTTAATTATAAATACATAGAAAAATCCAGGACGATAAATGCAGTTATACTCATGAATGCAAATGTTTGCTCCGTGCCAGGATCGAACCCGCGACCATCGCGAGTAATGATGTGTGCTAAACCGCTAGACCACCGAGTCCTCTTACGTTCATATGTTTTTATTCGTATATAGTTTGTATCGGTTTAGTATGTTATGTATATAATTATAAAAAATGTACCTGCATCATAATTTATTTAAGTAAGTGAAATATATAATATAGATACATATAAATATTTGAATTCATGAGTATAATGGTTTTTATCGTTGTGGGTGTTTTCTATAAATATTACCTTATGTATTGAGAAAAAAAAATCTATCTATTTATATCAATGATCTAGTACCTACAACACAAGCTCTGCTTAGATTTTTATGACGGACTAGTTTGATGCTGTTGGCCGCAGCTGGCCTTTACAGCTTCACCAGACGATAGGGGCGTGTGCAGATGGCACTCCAAACCCGCGGAAGGACTTATGGAGTGGCTGAAGGCCAACCCGCCTAACGGACTTTACTGTCTGAGGGTAACCCATAGTGGTGCCCTCAGACTCAGACACCGAGGGTTGGAGTCAGGGCTCAGGCCGACGTCATTTCTATCCCCGTATGAACTGAACGAGGGATCGATCAGAAGGACTGGTTAGATGGAAGTTAGATACTGTGAGAATTATCCAAGAGTAGTAATATTATATCATCGTTCGAAAAACACTTCTGCTGTTGATTATACAAATAAATAAATAAAAATTATGAGGCCTACGTTCCAACACAATTGTATTAAATATTAATGCCAATGAAAAATATTAGATTTTTCTTTACGTTATACTTTTTTGTAAATAACTAGCTTTTACACGCGATTTTGTCCGCGTAGTATTAAAATAAATAATAGAATAGAATAGAATAGAATAGAAAATCATTTATTCAAATAAAATTAATTTAAGCACTTTTGAATAGTCATAACAATTTGTTTTTTATCTACCACTCGTTCGGAAAGCTGTCTCATCACAAGAAGAACGAGCAAGAAACTTGTGTGTTGCTCTTTTAAATAATCCTTGTAATATTTGTCATAGGAAAGTATCCAGCGCTAAAGCGCTGTCGTTAAGCACAAAACCTGTGGTTTGATATTTAATGAAGCATCCTAAAAAGTGTGATTGTGTAGTACAATTACATCATTACATTACTCCACTTAAATGGATGCATCGCTTTGTGTGTTCTATCAAATATACAACGGACTGTATTCTGAAGATTTGTTGGACATACCTACGACTAGAGATGTGCTAACTCGTAATAAACATGACTCGAGTTAACTCGAGTTGACTCGTGTTACCTGGAATATTTTTTTTTAATTTTTCGAACAATTCTAATGTTTTTGGGCGCAGCTAGCCTTGACAGCTTCACCGAACTTTAGAGGGCGAGTAGAAATGGCACTTTAAAGCCGCGGAAGGACTTATGGAATACGTAACTATTTTATTGATAAGATAATCGGACGAATATGCGAAAGTAAAATGATAACAACCTCAAATCAATATTGAAATATGGTATTTGTGACGAGTGAAAATTGTATGATATAAAAATTTCATGTCATTGTCAGTTCGATGACAGAATCATGCTCTCGCTCTTTAATTTGATTCATTTATTTACCCAGTTGAATTCTTCCAACTCGAGTTGGCAGAATTCAACTCGAGTTAACTCGAGTTAGTAACTTGAGTTGACACATCTCTACCTACGACTACCTTTGAGCATTGCATCACTCGCCATCGACAGGGAATTCATCCCCACACTCTAGAACCAAAGTGGTTTCAGACTCTGTGGTTTCAGAGGAGCTTCCTCTACACACTTCGATTGTAGAATGAACTACCTGCCAAGGTTTTTGCGAATAACTACAGCATAGGGTTTTTCAAGAACGGTATATTATGGTTGTTTACGGATCGACAATGCGCACATGACACCCCTAGTGCCTCAGGCGTGTATAGGTTACGGTACCCCTTTACCATCAGATCCATACCAACGTAATCTAAATTAACTATTGCCATATCACAGTTTAAAAATTTAATTTTTATTCTACAGATTATCAGAGATCAAGAAGGTTCAGATATTGGCGAGAGAATTCGAGACGCCTCTAGGTCCCACGGTAGCCGGTAATTTCATAACCAACGAGCCTAAGGAGACGATGGAGTCTTTTCCTAACTTGTTGAGCAGGTAACAATACTTTTGCGTTTAATACACATCATCACTACATAGTATAAAACAAAGTTACTGTCGCTGTCTGTCTCTATGTATGCTTAAATCTTTAAAACTATGCAACGAGTTTTTTTAATAGATACAGTGATTCAAGAGGAAGGTTTATATCTATAATACATATACATCCGTGCAAACACGGGGCGAATATCGAGTATACTATATATACTATTATAATACTGAAGAGTTTGTTTGTTTGAACGTGCTAATCTCAGGAACTACTGGTTCGAATTAAAAAAATATTTTTGTGTCCAATAGTACATTTGTCGAGGAAGGCTTTAAGCTATATAACATTACGCTGCGATCAATAGGAGCGGAGCTGCAATGAAAATATTACAAAAGGTTGGGAAATGAAACACAGACGAAGTTGCACGGGTCAGCTACATAGTTATTAATATAGTTAAACCACAGATAACATAATATGTTAAACGTTGATGAGCAGTGAGCTCATGACCATTCATTTTAAAACACCGCGGCTAGTGCAATCTAGTCGAAACGACGAGATGTAATTATCTATACATATAAATACAATTGGAGTGTCTGTTTGTAATATTGAAATAACTTATTTTACCTAAATGTCGTTTGGCTAAAGTTAGTAATTCGTTTTATGGCAATTGCGTAAGGTTTTACAATAAAATACCAGAGTCTGTTATAAATCTGCCAGAAAAAAGATTTAAATGTCAAATAAAACACTTCCTTTGCAAAAAAGCCTACTATAAAATTGAAGAATTCGTTAACGATAATAATGTTTTTGTAGAAAAATTTTAAATACATAGCACTGACAATATTATCTGATTACACTAATAATGAGTGCGTAGCGATTTCTATGTTGATTGTCGCATGCCTCTTACTTGTTACACTGTAATTATTTATATAAAAAAAACATCTATCAAAAAGAGCAACACACAAGTTTCTTGCTCATTCTTCTTGTGATGAATCTGCATTCCGAATGAGTGGTAGAATCAAAATATGACTATTCAAAAGTGCTTGTAATGAGTTTATTTGAATAAAGATTATTTCTATTTCTATTTCTATTTCTACTGTTTTTTACTACATGCATATAAATATAAATACGGTACATATACCAAAATAACATTTTTTACAATTTTAGTCTCTCTGTCTGTCTGTCTATTTATTCCGGCTAATTTCGACCTTTTTTGACGGGACTTTTTTGGCTGGTAGCTGATGTAATAAGGAATAACTTAGGCTACTTTTTATTTTAGTAAAACAAAGTTAAATTCCATGCGGACGAAGTCGCGGGAACAGCTAGTAGAATATCAAATGCTTATTTTTTTCTTATTCAGATATCAACTTCTAAGCGGAGTGACAGAAATGGAGAGCTATCACGATTTCGGGGTCATTGAACTCGACCATGGTATTCTAGAAAATCAAAGGGATGATTTTATTGTCAAATATAATAAAATTATTTTCGAAGGGGCTGGTAGAGAGGCATTGAAGGATATATTGAAACAGTAAGTATGGATTTTATTTATTTTATCTAACTATACTCCATATTACTTATATAAGACGACAAGCTCAGTATTCTAGCGGTGCTACACCGCTTTGCTTCTAATGGTCGCGGGTTCGATTCCTCGCACGGTGTAAACATTTCTTTCATAAGTATAATTGTTTGCATCGGTCTGGATGTTTTCTGTGTATATTATTTATGTATTTACCAAAAAAAATCGAAGTATTTTTATCAATTACATAGTACCAGTAACAAAAGATTTAGCTAGATTAACTTGGGCCTAGATGGCGCTGCGTGAATTGTCCTGAGATTATTATTAATATTGTTATATAATAAAAATATGAATGTGGATGGATGTAAAGGGAGGGGACGCCCTAAGAAAAGATGGATGGATTGTGTGAAAGATGATATGAATAAAAGAAGAGTATGTTCAGATATGACGACCGATAGAGAGCAGTGGAAGAGAATGACATACTGCGCCTATCACAAATAATGGGATAAAGGCAAGGCAATGATGATGATATATATTCAAATTTATATCTGTAAATGTCGTATATGAATAAATTATTTTTACTTAGACATTTATTTTTTTAAAGTGTGATTTATTTTACCAATATAGCCAGACAGGAGACTGACATTTAGTTGAGTTGCACTCTACCTATATATTAGACACCACATCTGTTTATAGTCCAAGCGACACATTGCAACTTTTTTTTAAATTAAAAATGTTTATAGTCCAAGTGACTGATTGCAAGTTTTCTTTATAAATAAAAATTAAAAAAAAAACTTCGACAATTTTTTTAAGGTATTCACCATCGAAACTGGACCCTCAGCGTTGGAGCGTAGAAGCTAACAGGGATGTGATATTAAATATATTCAGCGACGCCAGAACTCTTTCTCCAGCCATCAATTTCGCGAACTACCAATCAAAAGCCAATAGACAATCGTATTTCTACGTATTTGGACACAATTCTGTCAGCACAGACTATGCACCGGTGAGTTTTATATGTATACCAGCTGACACGCGACTTCGTCCGCGTGGAATTTAACTTCATTTTTCTAAAATAGAAGTAGCCTAAGTTACTCCTTATTATTTTAGCTACCTGCCAAAAAAAGTCCCGTCAAAATCGGTCCAGCCTTTTCAGAGATTAGCCGGAACAAACAGACAGACAGACAAAAATTATAAAAAATGTTATTTCGGTGTATGTACCGTATTTATATTCATGTAGTAAAAAACGGTTATTTCAATTTTACAAACAGACACTTCAATTTTATTTACATGTATAGAAGTACACCCATGAGAAGCCGGGGCGAGTAGCTAGTAAAAAATAAATAATTTATAAATGTAATTGTAATTGTGTACACCTTAATTTAGTAGTACTCGTTCTTATGGATCATCGACATATTATTTAACTGTTTGACGCAGTGTGTAAAAAACGATTATTTCAATATTACAAACAGACGCTCCAATTTTATTTATATGTATAGATTAGCTGTAACAAACACCAATCCATGCTCAAAAAATTACAAGTCCATACCACGATACCACAATTTACCACTCTTGACATTTCGACTAATTTGCACTCACGTCACGCTTTGACTGGAGTAACAGCGACGTCAATGTAGATAGGTACCGGAAGGTTTTTCTTCAACCGTTACTAGATTGTCCAACAAAAGATCGCGACACAGCAATCAGGGTATCTGCATTGACATCGTCGGTACTCAAATCAGTTTCTCAAGCCGTGACCACGGCTAGTGCAACCTAGTCGAAACGTCGAGAGATTTAAAATTAGTCGTGTTAAGACCCGGTTAATAATATAAGAAATATAAATACAAATAATCTTTATTCAAATAAACTCAATACAAGCACTTTTGAATAGTCATATTTTTGATTCTACCACTCATTCGGAACTCAGATTCATTACAAGAATAATGAATAAGAAACTTGTGTGTTGCTCTTTTGAATGGATGTTTTTTTTATGTAAATAATTACATAATAACAAGTAAGAGGCATGCGATAATCAATATAGCAACCCCTACGCACTCATTCTTAGTGCAATCAGATAATATTGTTAGCGCTATGAATAAATATATAATAGTAATCTCAGGACAATTCACACAGCGCCATCTAGACCCAAGTTAGTTACTATAGGTAATAGATAACTGATACATATACATACATATATATATTTTTTGTAAATAAATACATTTTATACATAGAAAACACCCAGGCCGATACAAACAATCATACTCATGAATACAACTGTTTGTGCCGTACGATGAATCGAACCCGCGACCATCGGTCGTAAAACAGTGTGCTAGACCGCTAGACCACCGAGGTCATAATATATATATTTAATGTACATTAAATACAAAAGTTTAAAAATAGACACAGTATTACATTGATGAACACCAAAATAATTTTCTCAAAGGAATCTTTATTTAAAACACAATAACAGAAAACCACTGAGTCGACTTAAAATAAACTTTCTATTCGACGCTATCAATATTTTTACTTATTTGGAATACACCGTCTGTTCATTTTCCTTTCGCTGAAGAAAGGCAGGTGTCATTCAAGTGTAAATAATAAATACGTCGAACTATTAAGTAGAGACAACCGATGAAAAAGTTTCACGAACAATACTCACTCAATCACAAAAGCAATGGCAAACGTATTTTTGAGAGCTCAATACCAACAGGTTACAGACATACAGACAACAGAGACTTCGCTTCGCTTTGTGTGTTCTACAGATTATACAACGGACTGTGTTCTGAGGAATTGTTCGACATGATGCCGACGGCCACCTTTTACCATCGCTCCGCTCGCGGTTTATTTCAATATCACAAACAGATACTCCAATTTTATTTATATATATAGATAAAACTTTAATTTTGCATTAGAGGGCATATATATAGTAGAGTAATCTTAATATTAATCATTACATAGTATAAAACAAAGTCACTGTCGCTGTCTGTCCGTCCCTATGTATGCTTAAATCTTTAAAACTACGCAACGGATTTTGATGCGGTTTTTTTAATAGATAGAGTGATTCAAGAGGAAGGTTTATATATATAATACATGTACACCTGTGTAGATATATATATATATATATTATAAACGCTAATGTTTGTGAGTATGAATGTTTGTTACTCTTTCACGCAAAAACTACTGAACGGATTTTGATGAAACTTTTCAATAATATAGCTTATGTATCAGTATAACATATAGACTATATTTTATATAAAATTTAACGCAGGTAGAACCGCGGGCACAGCTAGTAATATTAATATAAATATAAAAAAAATACACAACATTGATCAGTTAACAAAATAGAATATTCGACGACCTCGGTGGTCTAGCGGTTTAGCATGCCGCTTTACTTCCAATAATCGCGGATTCGATTCCTCGCATAGCACTAACATTTTGTATTCATGACTATGATTGTTTGTGTCGGTCTGAGTATTTTCTATATATAATAATTATGTATTTTCGAAAAATAAAAATATCTATGTATTTGTATCAGTTATCTAGTAATACACACATACATAACACAAGCTTTAGCTAGCTTAGCTTGTTGACAAAGTTTCATACAAACTTTCATCCCCTATTTTATCCCTTTGGGGGTAGAATTAATCAAAATTCTTAGCGGATGCCTACGTCATAACGTCTACCTGCATGCCAAATTTCAGCCCGATCCATGCAGTTGGGCGGTGCGTTGATAGATCACTATGTCAGTCACCTTTGAGTTATATATATTTAGATAGAAATAATAGTAATGATTGATTTCTAATATGAATTCTTTGAATTTCAGTTAAACAAAAGCGTCCACGGCGAGGAATTGCCGTATGTATTGGGAGTACCTCTTGGCGGTGCGAATACGCACTTCCATACAGAATATACGCAGAAGGAGAAGCTGTTGAGTGAAGTAATGATGAGATTGTGGACGAACTTCGTAAAAATCGGGTAAAAAGCTTTTTTATTTTTTATATTACGTGACGTAGATCTGCATGTCCATCTGTCATAGATGGACATGCAGATACCTAATGTGGCAACCTAGGATGGCAGACCAATTGTCAGATGGTCTGACATCAACCAGCGATTAATATTTATTGATACATTGATCAATATATATGATAAAATGGAGATCCCGCGCTCCAACCAGAATCTTTTGAAGAACCCAGTAACTTACAAACCTGTTTTTGAGTACGTCATATCAACATTTCAAGATTTATAACTTGTGAAGATAATTATTTGGAAAAAAATATATGAAAACACTACTGAATACAATGGCTGTATGGGCTGAGTCCTTTTGCCTTTCCCTGAAAAGGGAAAAACAGAACAAAAAAAATGACAACTGGGCCTACCTAGATAAGTTGTGCCGAAAATTGAACAGAGTGGAAATTATGCAAGAGGCGTACGTCCGAGTGGACTGACAGACACTGAAAGAGAAGAGAAGAGACGACTCTATATTATATAATATATACGCTATACTCTACGATCAATACCAGCAGAGCAAGAATGAAAAATGTTTCAAAAACGGGGAAATCTTACTAATAAGGAATAAATAATGCAACAGGATATTGTAGGCGGCCGTTTGTGCGTCACGTAATAAATTTTCTTTTCTCAGATTTATAAATTAATAACGAATTGCTTTAGGAAATAAGTTAAATAACTCCAAAGAACCACTTATCATTCTTGAGATCACAGCAGGCGCCATGTTTTCGACTGTGTGATTAATGATTAAATGATGAATATTTTCAAGCGTTCAAAAGCGAATTTGTAAACGAAAACACATTTTTTTTACTCTGTTTATATTTAATTCTTTTACTTTATACGGCTAAGATTTTTAACTCTCTATAAATGTTTAGATAAAATAAATTCATAACGAAATCTATACTAAGTAATGTATATTTGAAATATTCTAATAATCTATATATTCCATTCTAGAATAGAATAGAATAGAAAATCATTTATTCAAATAAACTATATCTTATATATACAATTCTCGTGTCACAGTTTTCGTTCCCATACTCCTCCGAAACGGCTTGACCGATTCTCATGAAATTTTGTGAGCGTATTGAGTAGGTATGAGAATCGGCCAACATCTATTTTTCATCCCCCTAAATGTTAGGGGTAGTCCACCCCTAATTTTTTTTTTATTTTAAGGCAAAACAACTTTTGCCGGGACAGCTAGTCATATATAAATATCTATATGTCATAGTTATTATTCTTTTAATCTACCGCACATTTGGAAAGTTGTCTCATCACAAGAACAAGCAAGAAACTTGCGTGTTGCTCTTTTAAATAATCATTGTAATTTTACATTTCCAATTCGAAACGTGCGAATACAAATCACTAACTAGCATTAATTTATTAACTTCAGATATTAAGTACACCATAAGATTAAGTACACACCAGTTCCTATAAGCAGCATTCATTCACGAGTATGACGTATCAGCCAGTTTACCAATTCTCCGAAACGGCTTAGACGATTTTGATGACATTTTATATATATACTCGGTACGTCTAAGAATAGGTTGTTATCCCTGAAATAAGGGTGCCCTCTGAAATTTTCTATTTCTGCAAATAAATAAAATTGGAGTATCTGTCTGTTTGTTCCGGGTAATCTCTGAAATAGCTGGACCGATTTTGACGGGACTTTTGTTGGCAAGTAGCTGATGTAATAAGGAGCAACTTAGGCTACTTTTATTTTAGAAGAAAATATTTTAGTAAAATTCCACGTGGACGAAGTCGCGGGAACAGCTAGTATGTAATATATATACAAATCTCGCGTCACAGCGTTATTTCTCTGAAACGGCTTAACCGATTTTGATGAAGATTTATATATATACTCGGTAGGTCTAAGTAGAAGTTATTTATTTTTATATCGCTAATCGATAAGGGTAACATATTCACAATTTGTTTTACTTTTTTACAATATTTATACCTATGTATTTTTAATGCTACATCATAAAAAATAAATATATTTACCTAAATATCACCCTTCTACAACCAACCTCTTTTTTTAAATAGCAAAATATATCGGTCTGGTTGTTTTCTATGTATAATTTTACGAAAAAAAAAATATCTATGTACTTGTATCAGTTATCTAGTATCTGTAACATAAGCTGTACCTAACTTAACTTGGGAACAGATGGCGCGACTAGATGTGAATTGTCCTGAAATTATAAAAAAAAAATACGAGTATACAATAAATTTCGAATAGAATAGAAAATCATTTATTCAAATAAACTTACATTGAAGCACTTTTGTATTTGAATAGTCATAACATTTTTTTTTAAACTACCGCTCATTAGGAATGGTGTCTCAGCAAAATAATAACAAGCAAGAAACTTGTGTGTTGCTCTGAATATTAAAGTAAATAAACGTCCAATGAATGTATTTTAATTATTGGCCTACTTTGTCCTTGTTTAAGCTTATTTTTTAATTTAGGAACGTCTTTGTGTAACTAGAATAATTGCGATTAAAATTTCACGAAGTACTTGCTGGAAGCAGCGAATAAACGGCTGTAATATATAAAATGTTTATAACATAGGTTGTAGTGTTTATTACATATATGTTATCACATTTGTTATCATTACATAGTATAAAACAAAGTCGCTCTCGCTATCCGTCCCTATGTATGCTTATATCTTTAAAACTACCTTACTAAGATTAACTAAGATTTTTAAAGATTTAAGCATATATAGGGATGGACAGACAGCGACAGCGACTTTGTTTTATACTATGTAATGAGTATAAACGCAAACTTTGTGGGTATGGATGGATGTTTGTTACTCTTTCACGCGAAAACTGCTGAACGGATTTTGATGAAACTTTACAATAATGTAGCTTATATATCAGAATAATATGGGATATAATTTAAAAATATATTATGTAAATTGGGCGAAATATAATGATAAATGTCAAGTAAGTATGCAGACGAAGTGTGTCAGCTAGTTATAGATAAAAAAGTCTGTAATAGACCTAACATGAATAAAGATATTTTGTTTTGATTTGATATATCATTAATATAGTACATAATAATTAACCTCTGCATACAAAAATTCATTTATACTACAATAAGTTTTTTGCTAGACCTACAGTCACTGGCAGTTTTTATATTCGTTTATCCATATTTAAAATATGAGAGTTCTTTTTATACAATTGTTTTATTATTACTTCTGTTACTGCGCTTTCTTATAATAAACGTCTCTACAAGTATCTCTTCATTATATTTATATTCATTCATTTTTACTTTTTTTTTATTTTGTTTTTTAATTTCAGTACGCCCAACACACAAAGCGTGAATAAGTACTTCACGTTAGACCACAAACACTGGGGTCAGTACAATGTGGAATGGCCGGAGTACGATGTCGAGCATCAGTCGTATTTGAAGTTGGGTAAGTCGTCACCTGAAATATATTCTGAAATTGTCTTTTATCTATACACTAGCTGTTGTTCTGTCTATGAATAATAATAATAATAATAACACCAGTCACACAATAAGCACACACACTCACACATACACACATACACATACGCGCTTGGTTTTGGCCCGTAAGTGTGGAAAAAACCAGCAAAAGCTGAGAAAATGCAACAATAGCGTAAATAATAATAATAATAATCTTTATTTTAGTGCTCACAAGGAAATATTACAATATGAAAAGAAAAATTAATAAATTTCACCTTACAAGTTATTCCTTTTGAGAGTCTGGAGTCTGAACTAGAAAACCTATACTACAGATCTCCAAGCTCTCTCCGGGGACTTACTGTGCTATTGTAATACATCTTAAAAATATTACATGTACATATTTGTGAGGTGAAGTTGTAGAATTTGTCGCTAGGTGTGGAGTATGTGATAGTTAGTGGCGTGTATGTGTGTGATTTCCCATTGGTATAATTAATAAAAGATTGACATATTCTTAATTTGTTCCCTTCGTAAGAACATTCTGTTGACAACAACAAACCCAACAAAAAAGAATAGGCGTAATCGGTTCAGTCGATCACTCGCGATGTCCTATGGAAATAGATAATAATTTCTATATATATAAAAGATACAATAAAAATTAACTGATCGCTGTCTGTACGTGGATGATATATGAGAAAAACTATTATTGGATGACTTTATGAATGTAATAGAAATCAAAACAATGATTTTAAATAATGTAAATGTGTAAGTAGTGAAAAGTAGTGGGTTGTCTAACGGTGTTGTATAGGATCCATTTTGGCAAATGTGTTTAAAAACTGCAAAACCTCATTCCTCCAGCACTGTTCCATCAACGTACAATAAGACGTAGAGAGCAGCTCCACACATACGCTGTTGATATCCCAGCTGCTCGAACTAACCGTTTTGCATCAACTTTCCTTGTGCGACCAGCTAAGGAGTGGAACTCTCTACCAGCGTCTATTTTTCCGGCCTCTTACAACATTGGGTCTTTCAAGTTAAGAGTGAATAGGCACTATTTGAGCTTGCGTGTACCAGCTTAGACCGCATCATCACTTAACATCAGCTGAGATTGCGGCCAAACGCGCTCAAATTTAAATATAAATAAAGTAGTTAAAATGTCCTACATGAATAAATGCTTTTATAGTTGAGTAGGCATTTTTTAATAAAATATAATTTTTCCACTGGTATGAAGATCTGAACCTAAGTTCAAGATGATTTAAGGTTCAAAATTCCAAACTTAAGAATTCACAAAGGACCTTTTGGCCCTTCGTGTACGTCATATTTTTATCCCTATCATCCGGTCCAGTTCCTCAAACAACTCCAGTTGAGAAGAACTAGTATGAAACTCGACTGATACATTGTTATATTTCATTATTCTTTCGTTTCAGTCAGTTTCAATCTTCAATAACATTTTTCAAAATACCTTAGTAGGTATTTTGAAAAATGTTATTGAAGATGGATAGTTCCAGTTCGGCTAGCTTTTAACTTCGTTTGCGAAGAACTGGCAAGAGACTCGACTGGTATATTCTTTTATGTTAGTATTATTCCTTTTCAATCAGTTTCAACCTTTTTCAGATATACCACCGTACATCAGCAGTCTGTATCGTTCGAACTACACGAACTTCTGGCTTGAGACGTTACCTAAAAAGATGAGGAGGTTCCTTATTGATCCACTACTCGAGTACACTCCTAGGCCGACCACACAGAAACCTAAGTCAACACACCGTGTCCCAGGTGAAGCAACTACAAAGCACTCATATTATTAGCAATATTCCTAATGAATTTCCTAGCGAGATCATACTTGAACGAATATATTGATAATCGATCACGTACTCATTACATACTTGTACGTGTTCTACGCACGGATGAAATTTATATAAATAATGTACAAAAATATTATCCTCTGGGAAAATTATGACATCAATATGTAATTCAGACCTATTATATACAAAATAGAAAATAAGTTTATTAAAAAAAATTAACAATTTATTTTATTCGATTACACATAATGAAGTAAATAAAGCAAGTTTTGAGGTTAACCATGAAATAATAGTATAATTTATAAATTTATATTACAATAACACTGTGAGCAATATAGTAGAGTTAGCAATCAAAAAGGAAAACAGAAGTATACAGTTTATCTCTGTAATAGTTGATTGTATATTATAAGAACGGATTATTGATTATACAAAAAGTGAGTATAGAAAGGTACTGATTAAATAAGAAATCAAATAAAATATAGCAAAGCGTAGCCTCTACTTACTATGCTGTATAGTTTTGGATATAATTTAAACATAAATAGTTCATTAAACGGCTTAGATTTTTTTTTATTACAAATGTTATTTACAGACGATATTAGAGTTATTGTAGTGATATATGAGTGAATGACATGAATACGACCGCAGACTACAATATCTGTAATAATCTACGTGTCAAATAATTCAATAATAATTCTATGTATACTCCACAGATCCAATCCAAAAAATATGGAAGCCTCAAGTGGCGGAGCCTCCTCGATATAGTGCTCCTACATATGGTAGGGTTCGATTGTACTCTCCTCCGGAGACGCGATCAGAGCCAGATATAATATATGGGCAGACACAGTCAATGAAACCCATTCCACGTACAGTACCACCGAATTTAATGGACAAAGCAGTTCAACCTACTGAGAAACCTCTAAATCCTAATTTACCAGTAAAGATGTCTGGCGCTACTGTAACCCTTATTATATCACTCGGTATATTATTCTTAGCTGTAAATGTAGGTATATGTTCCATATTATACTTTAAGAAACGTAAGTTACGTATTCGAGAGCAAGCTTTTGAAATCCCTCGACAACCTCGTGCAGATGTCGGGGAAGTTGATGTAATAGGACAAAAAGGTTCCAAAGATGACAAAAGTGCTTTACAGACGTTTAAAAATGGTTGCAGCGTTATAAAGTCTATGAGTTTTAATAAATTACGTGATAAAAAAAAGCACAAGAAAAAGTCGGAACCATGTAAAACACCTAAGTCTGATGATTCAGGAGGATTTAGAGAAAGATTTCAATTGAGAAGACATCTATCTACTAGCACATTGGATGCGCATACAAAGGTAAGAGACTGGATTGCTAACGAAGTTATGCATAGATGTTCTCCAGGCATTATGAGGAAATCAAACTCCGATTTAAACAACGACAAAATGTTGACTGTAATTAAACCTTTTACTAGATCCGAAGAATTATTATCCGATGTAAAGCGTTCTAAAAAAGAAGTCAACAATGTTGAAGATGTGAATTCAACAAATAATGCTTACAGAAAATCTGGTAACAAAACAAGAACGTCTGAGAAAACCACTTCAACATCTGCCCTAGACTCACACTCTTCTATAGGAAGCAACAAAAATTCAACATTGAGTATAAAACAGACTAGAAAATCTAGTGATTCTCTCAGAAGCAAGGGAACAGAAAGTATTAAATCAAAGAAAGTATCTGTAGCAATCGACGCTACACCAGCTGCACGTACAAACTCTATACTAAAACAAGAGCCGATAGAAATTTATAAATCATTTGACTGTGGAGAAACAAGGCATTCCAATAATGAAAATATACTAGAAAAATCTAGAACTGAAGACGATATTAATTTGAATATAGTACAAAATAACCCTGTTGATGAAATTAATGAAACAAAAACATATACTAACGTAGTAATGTTGTCAGTTGACCAAGAAAAACCGTTAAGAATTTCTCACAAACATTCCTCTTCAGATCCTGTAACTGATGTTAACTATGATAAACTTATGAAAGATAAAAGAGAGTGTGGTAATCAAATTATTAATATCCTTCCTCCTGTTACTTTTAGAAATGATATAAATGTAACATCATATGATGAACGTACCAAAGTTGAACCTTTGACTGCTGAAGAAGCTTTATTAACTATAAAAAGAAGAAACTTTCCGAAAGTACTTCCAGATTTACCTAAAACGCAAAAACGATTATCCTTACAACCTACTAGTTTACAAACATTTCGAAATTATATTGAAAATGCAGATAATCAATGTGATCGCCCTAAAGTCCCACCACAGCCTCCTCCTAGAACAACAACGTTAGATCGTCGCCTTGCTTACAGAAATACAAAACCTTTAAACTCTTTCGATTCCTTTAAATCCAGTAAAATATCGGAAACATATAATTCTGATAATAATTATGAAAATATTGATTCTTTAACACCACATTACGACTCCAGTCAAACAAATATCAGACTACCTGATTCTATCACGCAAAAAAGTCCAACTGGTTCAGTAATAACAACACCAATAGAAAGAGACTATCCTAAAGTGATAATAGCATCAAGTAACATTCCATTATTACAAGATCCGAGGATAATTATAAAAGCCCCCTCAAGTCAAATAGAATTACCATCTAATATTCCCAGAATAAGATTACCTGATGATTTTCATTCTCAAGCAGGTTCCATAACATCTTTTTCTTCATTCTGTTCTGATGACGAAGAAAATATAGATGACGAAGAAGAAGAAGATTTCTTAGATGATCTCACAGAAGACAAACTTATAAAAGAATTGGTTGGTGGAATAGAATCGCCAACTAATATGAGTGAAACGTTGTTAGATACTAAAGGGCCGGATACAATATTTGAAAAAAAATTAGAGATCGTACCAGTAAAAATAAATAAGAGAGAAGTTGCTCCTAAGAGCAATGAAGATTATATTTATATATCTGATTTGCACTTACCTGGTATAAGTGAATTAGATAAAACGGCCCAAATCAAACCAAATTTTAGTTTAAATAAACTTCAACATAGAACAGAAAGTATCCATAGGCCCCCAGAAAAGGCTGTAAAATTAAAACCAAAACGATCAATCAAGCCTGCTTCAATTTTGTCTAAAAGTATTAAAGGTAAGAAGGGCAGTAATAAAAGCAAAAGCAGTTCTAGTACATTGGAGTATTCAAATTCCGGATCTTCTAATGACACAGAAACAAGTACTGGCACGGTAAAAAAAATTGAAATAAAGAAAGATTTAAAACCTTAGAGAATATATATGCGGTATATATACAGATGTTCCAGCAAGATTATAAAGTATGTTAATTAAATTTATTTCTATCCACATGAATACCACGCCAAACATAATTGTAATGCATTTAAAATATACTATTATTCATACATTAATCTAATTATTATTTTATTTAAACCATAAAATAAAAGTGCTACACCCAATTTTTCATTCTCGTATGATCAATGCATAATTAGCGAGTTACTTTAATATTCCATTATATTTGTTTGAACGATAAGCTATTTGATACGTCTGCATAAATAAGGCATTCAAACTTTACACAGTTTAATGAAAACAGTTATAATAAAACCCGAGGAATTAAGTGATCTTTCGCAGCATCTCCGATCTTTGCCTTCAAATGCTGTGACTTTGGAAGCCCGCTTGATCCTTGACGTGGCCTAAGTTACAAACGTATTCATTCTGATATATTTGTAATCTTTTTTGTTTAATTCAATAAAATATTGGATTTAACAAACTAATTTTTGCGCGTATAATTAACGTGTAAATATCATCAAATAAATTGCGTTAGGACCTAGGAATTACTAGAGCAGTAAAAAATACATCAATTTAAAGAATTGAACGACAATGGTGGTGTAGCGATTTAGCATACCTTGTTACTTTAGAAACTTTTGAAAGTATATTATATACAGTCAGAATACTGAGTATATAAATAGTCAAGGGGATTTAAGACAAGCATAATATAATGAGAGCAAAGAAATAGCACTGATGATTGGCAAATATTTTACTCTGACTCACGTCATATATAAATAAATTAATAAATATAAGATAGCATATACAATTAAAAAGATATCTAGACGTCGTGCCGTGCTACTAATTTTGTAGATAATACTGTTGAAAAAAATTGTACAAGGGTAATATAACAGGTTGGAAATTTAAACTATTTATTGCGTGTGTTATTTCTATAGATAAACTCGAGTGAGTCTTAAATAAAAACAGATATTCTAATAGAGTTGTAATATTACTTAACTATTTTTTTATATATTATAATTTCAAGTTATTTCGCTTGAATCTTACTGCAGGGACCATAGTTAAACAGTTAGCATTAAACTCCTTATCAACAACGGTAAGTTTGTAACTGGAGTCATGATTCCATTGAAGAAGCTTTACGTCACAACTCGCCCTCAATTAGGCCTCTGATCTCTCATGAATGCAAAAACTTGGGCAATTAAAATCTTGCCGATTATAAGCCTCTTTATACGTCACATTCAGTATGTTATAGGCAAAAAATATACGTAGATAGGTGAAAAATCAAAGGGCAAAGATGTACTGCAAAGTCTGTCAAAAAATAATCGATCAGAAATGGGAAAGAATAAGACTTGAAGGCTTTACTTATTGTCTTCATACATGTAACCATCCCACCATTTTTTTTTCAGATGAAGAAATTTTTAATAAAGCTTACTTGTGCCGTCAAGGATTTCAGTCGAACATCGAGATATGGCAGTTTAATTCATAGGCGAGATATGTCAGTTTAAAATATAACATATTAGTTCTCAGCAAAAATCGTGATGCAGAAAAGCATCACGACCTCCTCACGTAGTTGCTTTTTATAACATAGGGGACAAACGAGCTCACCTGATGCTAAGTAATTATCATCGCCCATAATCACCAGCAGCACTACGGCAATTTCAAGTGCGTTGTTAGCCTATGTGGTTGTGCGTGCCAAAAAATTCTAAACAACCGCACATTGGAGGACCGCCAATCCTAATGCGACTATTAACACTTTCTATGAAGGGGGAAGATTGTTAGTAACGTGGCTTTTGCTAGCAATGTACCACATCAGGTTGACTCCACGCTTTTTCCTCTGAAAATTATCATGATAATTCTGGTGAATTGGTAACGATGGGCTAACTGATCTGGCCTCATGTTCATCTTATCAACTGACGTCCCGCTAGTAGAGATCGTTAGCGTATGTGCGTACACCATTCCATTAAAAAAAAAGAAATCTGTAATGGGAAACATAGTAGAAGTGAAACTTCAACGAACAATTCTTTTTCTCTAACATATAACAGTGGAAGCTCCGCTCTCCGCGCACGGCGCGACGGTTACTCTTTTCCTTTACCGAAACATTCTAATACCGGCTGTTTTAGGATTTTTCGGTCTATACAGAATTTCACTTTAAAAACATTTTTCATCTGAGCCATCAGATAGTTACTATTCCTTCTAGCTACTCTGTAATTTTAGGACATACACATAAAGAATATAAGAGTACTAGCTTTTGCCCGCGGCTTCGCTCGCGTTAATTTGGGGATAGATTAGGGGTGGAATTTATCGAATTCCTTTCTCAGGGGATGCCAACGTCATAGTAGCTTTATGCATGCAAAATCTCAGCCTGGTCGGTTTAAAATTGACAAAGTTTCATACAAACTTTCCTCCCCTATTTTATTTCCTTGGGGGTAGAATTTATCAAAATCCTTTCTTAGCGGATGCCTACGTTATAACATCTACTTGCATACCAAAATTCAGCCCGATCCGCCCAGTGGTTTGGACTGTGCGTTGATAGATCACTATGTCAGTCACCTTTGAGTTATATATTTAGATTTTACAACAGTGAACGTAATTAAATAGCAACCCATGTACAAATATGCTATAAAATAGCATTGAGCAGTGGCAACATTGACAATAGAAAGCGACTATTTTCTAGTGTGAGGCAGGCTGGAACAAAACTCATTTGCAACTATAATTGAAACGCTAAGCTTTCTGCGGATTGAAATTCTGACTACACTTTGACTGCTTTTGTTTCTGAATTTATATAATAACAACATGTAACATGATTTTAGAATGATAATATATTCAGCGTTCACGAAATATCACAACAGGGGGCTGATTATGTAGTGTAATAGGTTTCCGTATGATTTCAAGATTGAAATTAATTCGTATTTTACATTGTTCTTCCCTTATTTGCCTAAATTTTATTAATACGTATACTGAGACGGACTTGGCATTCCATGAATTTACCTTACGGAAGCCGGCAGATAGAGATACTCCGAGCAGTTCCCAGGACTTAGACCCGGGTGTAGATCCCTCTTGCCGACGTACGAAGACGCTCATCTTCACCGCTCGTGCTTCACTCCCTTCCCAGCCAAACCTCGGTAGGAGCCTATAAGTGCAGGTTTACATATACATTCTAGTATAGATCTTACTATAGTTCTAGATAGGCAAAGATTTTTAAGAAGATTGTAGAGAGATGCTGAGTTTCACCACCGTACCCGCCAGAAAAAGTACCATCCCGATCATCTGGATGAATGGCGGTCCTCCACAGTGCGGTTTTCTAGAAACTTTTTGCCACGCACAACCACATTGTGGAATCACCTTCCAGCAATGGTATTTCCGAACCGATACGATATTAAAACCTTAAAGAAAAGAGCTTATTCCTTTTTAAAAGGCCGACAACGTACTTGCAATTCCAATGGTGTTGCGGGCGGCGATATTCACTTACCATCAGGTGAGCTGTATACTCGTTTGTCCCCTGTGTTATAAAAAAAAACATTTTGTTAGTATACCAATCATTCACAATTCGACAACAAATGAATTAATTATTATAAAGCTGAAGAGTTTGTATGGTTGAACGACCTAATCTCAGGAACAACTGTTTGGAATTGAAGATATATTTTTGTGTTAGATAGACGATTCATTGAGAGCTGGGATTTATAGAAGCGGAGCATCAAAGAAAAGTTACCCAGACGAAATTACGCGAATCGAGTACTAAAATATATACACTCGGTAAGTTGAGATATTTATAAGGATTTGAAATAAACTGGGCTAGATGGTTGCTTTTTTATAAGGACTAATCGTTTTTCCAAAATAGAGTTTTTATTATATTACTACAATTAGCTCGCGACTTCGTCCGAGTGAAACCCAAAAAAAGAAAAAGAAAAAAGTTTCATAGTTCTAACTTCAAAAATGACGAATTTCCATACAAACTTTATTCCCCTATTTTATTTATCCCCTTAAGAGTAATTTTTTTACAGACTTTGTATGTCATATATATATTTAATCAACAACCTTAAAATAAGTTTTTAGTTTCTAGCTTTAATACATACGATACTTCCATACAAATTTTCATCTCCCCTTACAAACATTTTCTCGCATTAAAAACAGCCTATATCCTTTCTCAGGCTCTAGACTATCTGTGTACCAAATTTAATTTAAATCGGTTCAGTAGTTTTGGCACGAAAGTGACACCGACATACAGACAGACTTACTTTCGCATTTATAATATTAGTAAGAATAAGGATATTGATAGTCTATTTCCAGAGGAGAATACAAAATTATCAAATCAGATTTTATTATAGGCACCATTACGAATGTTATTCTAAATGGGGTATTTAGGCATTGTCAATTATCTACATCATGATGAACGCAATACTAGACATACCCTTATTTATTATATAAATTATTAACCGGCTCTTAACACGAATAATTTTATGGCAAATAAAGGTATTTACCTCTCTCGACGTTTCAACTAGGTTGCACTAGCCGTGGTCACGAGCTGACTGGAGTAACAGAGAGAGGTATATATTATATTTGCCATAAAATTATTCGTGTTAAGACCCGGTTAATAATTTAAATAATGTATATTAAACAGGAAAGTTTAAAATTAACTATACCCTCATTTAGGTAGGCATATTGAATATAACGTGGAAGCAAGCGAATCTACCTCTAGCCATCTGTCGGAATATTTTTATGGATTGCTATTGGCGTATTCTTCATAGTACACTCGGAAAAATATATTGAGGTTTCCTTTTTTCTATCAGACTGCTATTCTCAGATTTTATTACAGGTATTGCTAGCTGACTCGGGAAACGTTGTTGCTTTATAAATTAAATAGCTACTCGCTCGGCTTAGCACGAGTGTACATGTATTATATATAAACCTTCATCTAGAATCACTCTATCTATAAAAAAACGGCTTCAAAATCCGTTGCGTAGTTTTAAAGATATAAGCATACATAGGGACAGACAGCGGCAGTGACTTTATTTTATACTATATATATAATAATAATAATAATATCGCTATTATTAATAGAATTTGAAGGTAAATTTAGTATATTTTTGAATGGCAAATAATAAAAAAAATAAAAT